CCCACACACACACACTATTCCCTTCTATCCTCCATTGTACCTACCTCAAGACATTTTTTTGAAGGGATGTTCTGTATAGTTATGGTAATTCTACAGCTGATGGCATTTGGTGAACCTGGTATGAGAAATAACATATCAGTTAATTTTTATTTTTTTCTTCCAAAGTTACAGCTCATAGGTTAATTTGATGGGATGGATCTAGTGTGCTGGAAGTGTGAAAGGGTTACACAGGAGCTTTTCCCACCACTGACAACATAAGCCTCTGAAGTAGTGCAGTCAGACTTAATGCCGGCCTAACAATCAAAATTCAGAATGTGGAACTAAAGGCACCACACTGACTCAGAAGATCAGAGGAAGACAACTTAAAAGTGAATATGGAATGCAGTCGGGCAGTAGCAGAAGTCAGCATGATCGAGGGTTGCTTGAAATGCTTCACTGGCAGAAGAGAGAAAAACAAATTAAAAAAATAATGTAATTTTCCAGCGTTCAGTTTAAAGTGCGCCTGATGCCTGAAAACATAGGCCACCCCAAATCTACTTTGATTTTGCCTGGCAATAGTCAGATTTCAGATAAAAGGGTGGGTGTGGTATGGGCCCAGGTATGGTCATGGGTTGGAGACTATGCAGAACTTTGGTGGATGGGGTAGAGATTAACGGTCCTTGGCTTTACATAGCAAGCTGCTGGGGATTATTATTTGTAGGCACTGGTTTTTCAAGTAAAGGTTTTACTTTGCCCCTAGAGGCTATTAGATACCCCTAGAGGTCAGGTGGGCTGACATTTCTCCTCAGGGTTAGGTACTTGAGTTATAGTAGGGACAGATGGGAAACAGTCACCTTTGGAATGCATAAAGAGTTTATTTGTCATCATAGACTCTAGAGAGAGAGAGGGTTAGGGCATAGGACCACTGAAGAACATGGCAGGCTCCAAATTCACACCTACAGGCTTCTCAAGTAAAAAATCCCTGGGTTTCTTGGACCTTGGACTGTAAGCAGCTGTAGCATAAACTCCCCAGGCAAGACAATTGCAAGGTCCAAGCCAAGTTCCAGCTTCTCAGGCACTTCCAGTAGCTAAAGTTTCCTCATGGTGCTCTCTCCTAAGATCAGCTCCTTCTTGAAAACAACCTCCAGCACGTCAGTCAGAACTTAGGCCTCAGATTCGGGCCTGTCTTCTGTAAGCACATGGGCCTTCTCCAGGCAGCAGACCTGTAATGTAGAGAGACACAACACACACCCAAGGTAGGAGACCTGGGAGGAAGAGAGCCTCCAGAAGGTTCTCTAAAAAATATAAGTCTCCTCCCAGCATGAACCACTGGCAATAAACCTCATTGTGGTTGGCCAAGGAGACACCATTTTCATCAATCAACATCATTGTATTTTCTCCACTATTTCCAGGGACTTTCCCCATAAAAGGGAGATATAAAAGCCGTACTAGAGAGCAGGTGGGGATCAAACGTTTAACCAGTAAATGTACAAAAATTAAATGTATGTTCACCAATGCTAGAAGTCTGGTAAATAAAATAGAAGACCTTGAAGTTATGTTACTCGAGGAGGACTATGATATAGTAGGAATAGCAGAAACATGGTTAGACGACACACATGATTGGGCTACTAACATAGAAGGGTACAACCTGTTCAGGAGGGACAGGCTGGCAAGAAGGGGGGGGGGTGTATGTATATATGCTAAAAATAACCTCAATATTCACATACAACCCGAACAACTTCCAAATCGGCTAAGGCAGCACGTTTTCTTAATATGTTGCGAGACAATTTCATGGATCAGATGGTTGAGGTCCCGACCAGGGAAAATGCAATCCTAGATCTGATCATCACCAACAATACGGAGCTAATCGAGGATGTTGTAATCGGGGAGACATTGGGCAATAGTGATCACAAGGTGATTGCTTTCAATATCGATTGCAAGAAAGGGGAGGGGGATGGGCGGACAAGAAGCCTAAACTTCAGGAAGGCGAACTTTGATAAACTGCGTAATATAGTGGGTGAAATCGATTCGGATAACTTATTTGATAAACTAAACTTGGACCAGAAATGGGACTGTTTCAAGAACAAACTAAAAAATGCTATAACCAGGTGTATACCGCTGGGGAACAAATGTAAAAGATCGAAAACAAGTAAATCGGTAAAGAAACACATTAAGGACAAAAAACTAGCATTTACTAAGTATAAAATGGAGGGGACAGTATCGTCATTCCTAAACTACAAAGATTTTAATAAAATATGTAAACTGGCAGTGCGGTCAGCCAAAACTGAATGTGAAAAATATATCGCCGAAGTTAGTAAAAAGAACCCCAAAAATCTTTTTCAGTACATAAACAGTAAAAAGGGGAGAAAGGAACAGATAGGCCAAATAAAGGACATAAATGGTTCACTACTCACAAGCGACAGGGAGAGGGCCGAGGCGCTAAATACTTTCTTCTCGTCGGTATTCACCAAGGAAACAGACGGGTTTAATGTACAGGATAAAACACATAATTTAACAGGAAATACACCGGAATGGTTGACCGAATCGGGGATACAACAAAGGCTCAAACTACTAAATGCAAATAAAGCATTAGGACCTGATAATCTACACCCCAAGGTACTCAAAGAATTGAACAAGGAGATAACAAGACCATTGTTCCTCATTTTTAAGGAATCAGTAATGGCTGGTAGAGTGCCAGGAGACTGGCGAAAGGCAAATGTGGTACCTATATTCAAGAAAGGGTCAAAATGCCAACCGGAGAACTATAGACCAGTTAGTCTAACATGCATAGTGTGTAAACTGATAGAAGGAATTATTAAGGACTACTTAGTGGAATTTGTCCGGGACCATAATATAATAAGTGATGGGCAACATGGATTTAGGAAGGATCGTTCTTGCCAGACCAACCTGCTGACCTTTTACGAAGAGGTAAGCAGAGAGCTGGATGGGGGGGACGACAATGGACGTAGTGTACCTGGACTTTGCCAAAGCATTTGATACTGTGCCACATAAACGCTTGTTATACAAGCTAAGGGGTATGGGCATTGATGAATTAGTGTGCACGTGGATAGAAAACTGGCTACGAGAACGTGTACAAAGGGTAGCAGTTAATGGCACTTTCTCAGACTGGGCAGGGGTCGTGAGTGGCGTACCCCAAGGTTCGATGCTGGGTCCCATGCTTTTTAACCTATTCATTAATGATATAGGGGAGGGAGTGAGAAGTCATATCTCAGTGTTTGCTGAGGATACGAAGCAGAAGTAAGCTTAGGGGCAACCCACCAACAGAAGAACTATGCACTCAGCCTAGGCTGGCTACAGCCCTGCAAAACTAAATTTAAGGAGTTGCTCCAGCTTAGGGCAGGGTGGCTGCATCTAAAATTAAAGAGTTGCTCCTGATTAGGGCAGGGTGGCTGCATCTAAAATTAAAGAGTTGCTCCTGATTAGGGCAGGGTGGCTGCATCTAAATTTAAGGAGTTGCTCCTGCTAAAGGGCAGGGTGGCAGCATCTAAATTTAAAGAGTTGCTCCTGATTAGGGCAGGGTGGCTGCATCTAAATTTAAAGAGTTGCTCCTGATTAGGGCAGGGTGGCTGCATCTAAATTTAAAGAGTTGCTCCTGATTAGGGCAGGGTGGCTGCATCTAAATTTAAAGAGCTGCTCCCTTTTTTTGTTGTAGTTAGTTTAAGGAAATGTTGGAATCCTAGTTAGGAGACACAACAAGAATTGAAATAATATTTTTGTCAAGTAAGGGTTAATCCCCTCTTAGACAGTTGTCCCAAAAACAGATGCCCCTACTGGAGGACTTCCCCCAGCCACCTACTGTTCAGATGACAACTGAAAATGTTTGGCTTTCCCATCACTTTCTGTCCAAGGAACAAACACATGTATTCATTTTTATTTTGTTTTATATCCTAGAGAGAAAACAACATGCTGTGAAGAATGTCTAACTCAGGGAAGCTTAGTAGCGCGTCCACTGGATCCCCCCATTCCTTTCAAGGTCCCAGCCAAGGGAAGATTTTACAGCAGACCCACCAAGGCATTACTATCCAGTTGACCAAAGTACACAGTGAAGACAACTGGGAGGAGTTAGAAGAGAGTGATCTCATATTTACCCTGGATCAAGATGAAGAGGAGGCCTTGCTGGCAAATCCGATACCCAACAAAGCCAGAGCTCCTTTGTATGGACAGCCAACAGGGAAAGAAGGAACTGTGGTTGATGAGCTAGCTCTAGCTGCCTTTGAGTGTGGAGGTGATGTTCTGCTGTCCGGCGAGACTCAGAGATGTAGTTCTCCATTGATGCCAAGCTCACCCTCTTCAAAACCTCTCATCAATTTAGTCAAGTCTGTCTCTACTGAAATTGATCCCAAGGATCCGTCTCCTCACAAAACCCACCCCTTTGTCAATCTGGTCAAGTCTATTTCCACTGAAATTTCCAGACTGGAACCAGAGGTATCACAGTCCAAGTCAGACTCTAAACTGAATGTCCATCTGTGGAAACAAATAACCCAGCCTAAGAGCAAAAATGGAGACTCTAGGACAGCTCCGTCTTCGCCTAGTTTGTCACCTTGCGAAAGCAAAGGTATGTTTTTCAACGTACAGGAAGTAGAAGCCAAGCTGGAGGACACCAAGAGGAGGTTGTCAGAAGCCATGCAAGAACCTTTAAGCATGCTTAGCAAAATTATAGGTGAGGAGACAAGCCCAAGCCCTAAATATAGAACTATACCCCCAATGTTTGCCAGCCAGGAGTCCCCAACAAGTCAACAGCGGGACCAGGGTTTTTTTGATACAAAGAACATTTTTCCAAGTTATGGAAAGTTAGAAGAAAGTGAAAGCCTGGAGTTTATGGAAAATCCGAGAAGTGTTCCGAGAGAGACACCTAAAAGCTGCTGCAAGTATAAGATCTGCTCCTATGGCGACATGATCCAAGTCGTAGAACTAGGCAATGATGTAGTATTAGAAGATCAGGATTTATTGGAGCCTGCCACCACTTGCCAATCGCCTCACCATAACAATGATGTGCCATGCAGTGCCCTGGTCTGCGTAGCAATCCTAGCTTACAACTTCTTCATTTGGCCCCTGCCAGCCTATATATCTGGGCTCATCATGGGTATTACCAGTGGCTTTCTCCTGGGACTTTTTATGGTGCTCTTGTTGGTCCCGAAGCCTTCTTACTCCTCCAGACATAAGCGATGCCTGCGGGAAAGTTCGAAATTCCAATTGGCAACTCAGAAGGTCCAGGAACCCTGTGTCTTACAGGTACGCTATACTGAAGCAAAAGGTGACAGCACAACATCTTCATGTTTGTGAAAATGTTAATAAGTACAGTACTATACAGTCTTAACTCTATAACAGTGTAATACAGGATTCATTTTATGCCGTATTTTAGTGTATTGTTTGTAATCCTATGAGCATGTGATATATTCCACCCCAAAGCCCTGCCTTTGATGCTATAACAGCTTCCACTCATCTGTGAAGGTTTTCCACAAGAATTTGCAGTGTGTTTGTGGGAATTGGTGTCCATTCAGCCAAAAGAACATATGTAAGGTCAGTTACCAATGTTGGATGATAAGACCTGACTAGCAAATGGCAAACCAATTTATCCAAAAGGTGTTTATTAGGTTGAGCTCAGAGATCTCTGGAGGCCACTCAAGTTCCCCCACACCAAACCCACCAAGCCATGTTTTTTTGGAGCTGGCTTTGTACACAGGGGTACGGTCATGCTGGAATAGAAAAGGACCTTCACCGAACTGTTTCCGCAAGGTTGGAAGAGCACAATTGTCTAAAACATAATAATATAGGTAGGTGTGATGGTCAGGTGTCCACAAACTTTTGACCATTTAGTGTACAGCTGCCCCAGTATGTGCCCTAGAAGTCACAGATGTGAGCATCAGCTGCAGTGCATGTGTCTTCTGTGTCGTGGATGGACACCTTCTCTTATAATAAAGTGCCCACAAAGCAGTTCTTCCTGTGGAACATGAAATATAGTTTGGCGAATAGTCATTCCCTTCATGACTGCACACTTTCAATCTCTTCACCGCCTCCTCTGTGAAATGCAATTTAACAATTGTTCGGAACAGCTGCGGAGGTGGGTGGGTGCCTCTATTGTTGGCACTGCAGATAGGGGCGACTTTGAGATCAGGGTACACAGTGTGCTGCCAACATATATTATGAGATGTTCCCTCATTGCAAGCTGCATTAAGAACAGGATCACAGAAGAGGGAATTCCAGTTCTAAAATGTATACAGTACAATATGAATTAGCTTGGGTGAGGAGGCAGTGCATGCTGGGGTTATACAGTACTCCTATGCTGACTATACATGTAACAATATGATCATGACAAATGTCTTAGGGAAGAAATGCATCTTCCAGAAAGCAATTGTACTTCGTAGGGCCCTTGAATCGATGAGGGGTTGTCTTTATTGAGCAGGAATGTCTGATCCTGGAGGAAAATCTACTCAAATTAGATCTTGGATTTACCAAAAGATGTATTTTATATAAGGCCTGGTTCACACCTGGGCGTTTTACAGCACGTAGAACCCGATGAAAAACGCCCTACGCCCAAAGAAGTACAGGAGCTTCTTTGGGGCGTATTTGCGTTTGTCGCGCGTTTCTTTTACCGCAAATCGCGGCAAGTAATATAGAGAGACACAACACACACCCAAGGTAGGAGACCTGGGGGGAAGAGAGCTTCCAAACGTGCGGTAAAAACGCATATTCCGCCCAGGTGTAAACCCAGCCTAAAAGAATGCTGAAACAATTGAATCTTTGAAAGATTTTGTATTGTTGCGTGTATGGCTAGCAATACAAATATTCAGACATAAAACGTTTGATGAGTAATAAGCTTGGTGGATGAACTTCAAACGTCAAGCTGAATACCAGGCGACCAGCTAAATACACAGCATATATACATGTATATATCAGGGATGCACAGATATCGGTACTTCGGTATCGAGTATGAGTACCGATATATTTTTTTGGTACTCGCCGATACCAAATATCGAGTACCGGAAATCCCATTAAAGGAGAACTGTGGGGTCAGGGCTTTTCCCCATAGTTCTCCTTAGGGTAACGGGAGGATACAAACTAGCGTCCTCCCGTCACCCTAGGCTCAGTATACCACGAGCTGCAGCTCACGGTATACTGAGAGGCCACAGCTGAAGCGGATCCCGACAATTATGTCTGGATCCGCCCAGCTGCATGAGTGACAGCTGGCTCTGCCTATCTCGAGGCAGAGCCAGCTGTACCCGCCCCGTAGGACAGTGAAAGGAGAAGCAGCAGACTGATTAGCTCATCTCTCTGTCGCTCTGCTGTTTCCTCCTATCAGCATGCTCTTTTTTAGCACTGCAGCACAACTAATTTGCTCCCTGTGCTGCTTCTCCCTCTGGTCTGAGCTCTGCTGTACAATGGATTGCAAAAGGCCGATAACCGGTCAAATTAAGGGACTTAGGCCCCTTTTACATGGGCTGATCAGGAGAAGGTCCGTGCATGGATTTCCTCCTGATCAGAGCAGTATGGAGCGAATGTCACCGCTGTAACATTCGTGTCCATACAGTTTTTTTCTCTGTCTTGTGATGGAGGAAAAAACTGCAACTACTGGACCCCATGTCAGTTTATGGGGAGTCGGATGTATAGGGACATGTGTCCGTTTACATCAGATTACCCCCAGTCTGGCGAAATGGATCTCTGATCCATTAGTTTTTCCGGACCTGGCTGGAGTCGGGGGTAACCAGGTGTAAATGGACGCCCATCCATTTACACACGGCTGCCCATAGAATGCGGACCAGCCGTGTGAAGGGGGCCTTAAACTGCTTGTATTAAAAAAAAAAGTTCTGTATTAATAATACAGAGTTGGGTCTTTTATATGTGTCTGGAGTTCAGCTTTAATTAAAAACTATACCTTGCATATCCAAAGCAAAGCAAATGGTCCAATTTAATACCCATTCCCCCAACACATTATACTTAACTTCCCTTTGCTTCCCTGCCACTCTGATGAGCCAGTGGGAGGGAAGAGGAACAGCCAGAACTTCCGGGTATGGAAGAGCATGTGACTTTCTCTCTCACATGGACAGTGCTGTTACTTGGAAGTTGGGCATTGGCAAATCACATGTTCAATTTAAATTTAATTAGAAACATGTTTCCTGTTTTTTTCTTAAGCCCCAGGTTGCAATTTTTAGGCATGTACCCATGTACTGTAGTAACAATGCTATGGAGGAGGAGCAGGCAGGGCAATCCACCCGCCAGGAAATCCGCAGCAACCAATCAGGGTCCAGATTTCCTACTAGGAAAGACATGAAGGAAGACTATGATTGGTTGCAGTAGATGCCAAGCGCGCAATAGGTCTACACTTTTCCTTCTTCCATCATGTGACTGCCATGAGCTAGAGTTTTTGTTAAACTTATGTTGAGCGATGTCTGTAATTGTAGCTGGGAAGTTTATTTTGGCATCTCAGCAATGTAATAAATTAGCAGATTACAGACATGTATGAACATCGGGTATATCCACAGTGCACGTGGTGGGTATGGGGGAAACTGAGATTTTGACAAGTATTGAGTAATTCTATATTTGTCTCACTGACATTGCCCATGTGATGGTTGGCGTAATTAATGTGAGTCTTTTTCTGTTTTCCTGCCCCTGAACAGACAGTGTAATACACTGTAAGTTGAATCAATGAATATGCCATTGACATAATTCTAAATAGTAACAAAGAAGATGGATGGCAAAAAAAACCCATTAATACCAATAAGAATATAGACCTATTTATTTTATCCCAAGCATGTTTACATTCACTTACTGTTGCTGACCCCCGTATGAAGTCCAGCATGTTCCAAGCATCCACAGCTCTCTAAAGATGAACTTCATCCAGCTCTTCACCTTTTTTCCATATCCCCTCTTAGCTTTTATGTTAGGCTCTAAGCAGAAGACATGCTTTCCTGTGCAGTGAATCCAGAGTTGTCCTGCTGTGATCTGCTGCCACAGCATGGGCCTTCATCTTCTTCTCCGATTGTCTTCGAGAGCTGGCTGTCTCTTCCATCTTCTGATGGGTAAGACAGCAGGCTGGTGTGAGTCCCAGCTCCTGCAGCTTCCTGGAATATGTGATGGGGATATCCTAGGATGTGCAGGAGCAGGGACACGCTATTCTCACCTAGGGTAGAGGAGGGCAGCGCCAAACAAAACAATTTTATCAAAAGGAAAAAAAAATTGACGTATTATATTGCGGAGTGGGGGGCAGCGGGTTGCAGGGACCTAAAGTTTATCTGGGCAGTGAATGTACACTTTAAGTTACAGATCAGCCTCTGTGTTCTTGAATTCAGCTTCACATTGTGTATATTCCTTCTTTCTTTCTTTCAGAAGTCCCTGGTAGTCAGCATTGAAAGATTTACCATCTATTCCTGTTCTGGTAGCAACACATGATGTGGGATTTTCTTTCACTTTTTAGTAATAATGATCACCAGGACAAATAGAGAGGGTGAATCTCCCTAAAGGTGCCCATACACCTGCCGATTATCATACGATAATCGCGGGTGATCCCGCGATCGTACGATAATCGGCAGGTGTATGGAAGGCGTGCGACCGTTTCTACTGTACGGTCGCACGTCTTTTGTCTTCCGAGCACGCTTGAAAACCTGCCAAAAATCGTAAGATTTTCGGCGGGTTAGTGGCGTACTCGGAAGAAAAATGCTGAACGGGCCAGTGTGCGGAAGCGCACATTGCCCGCTCAGCATTGGAATAATCGGAAGCCCTCCGCTCAGCGATGATCGCAAGTACGATCTGCCTGTCCAAGATAGGCAAATCGTACAAGATTTTAATTACCTTACAACCATCGCACAACGAAAGTCGTGCGATGGTTGTAAGTGGTATGGCCAGCTTTACAAAGACACAGACAGCAATAAAATTGTAACAAATGTTCTCAACTAAACTAGAGTGTAGAGGTAAAGGGCTGCCTAAATTGCCAGCACTATATAAATACGTAAAAATAATAACTAGAAAACCTAGTACATTTTCTGGTGAGGGGTTATCAGCCCATGTCCCTTATATGATTGGCTGGTATCATTAAGGGAAGAAACTGTTTCTTCTGTTCTAAAAAAAAAAATGTTCTGGTCTGCTCAGATCTCAAACCTAGTGGATCTGTTCATTCATCTGTAGTTGCTTGTTTTCATATAAGGTAACTGGCCTTCAAGTCGAACTTCAGAAGCTGTCTTCCAGAACCAACCCATCTCTGGCTGTTTACAGCTGAGCTGTCCATAGAATATAGCCGGCATAATAAAATAGAAGACAAAAACAACCCACAGGGGAAAATGTTCAACGTTGTTGGGGCATAGATTATAACAAGAGACGATTGGCTCTGTTTTACCAATTAGCTAATTCAAAATCATGATTGAAAATTGTCTTTCTTTGGCACCAGGGCTGGATGAATGAGATATTTTCCTATGACCCTGAGACGTATCACCCTGCTCTCACGCACTCCGTGTTTGTATCCTTGGAAGGGACGACCTTAAAACGTAGCTATCCAAAGAGCAATCTGCCTCGAAGGTCTACCTTTGGAGAGGAGATCCCAGAGGTTGCATTCGTCATTCATGAGACCTGTGACTTGACCGGTGCTCAGGTAAGAGCATATGCATGTTAATTGTTTCATTACTTAAAGGGACTTTAAGTCCATCCCCAATCTGGTTATACTCACTTCTCTACATTCCCCTGCTGCTCTGTTCCACTCTCAGGCCTAGGAGACCAAATCCTTTCTAAGTGCCTTTTTGGATGGTGTTGGAATTTACCTCCTTCTCCGGTGACAATGTTTGGGCTTGGAAAATGGCCACTTAGGCCCAAGCACTGAATCCAGTGAGAAGGTCTAGTGTGTTTTCGGGGTGAACGTATATCTACTAAAACAACTCTATTGTGTTGTAACAGGAGAACTCCTGTTTTCACCGTATATCTGAAGGTCTAATTGTTTGTAAATTGTGTTGGGTGTTCTTTGGCAGATGGAGCATATATCAACTCTTATAAAAAATAAGATGATGATAAATACGTACAGTATCACCAAGCTTTTACAGTTTTCTCAGGTTGTATCATCATTTACTCGATAGAGAAGTGGTGTTTTTTCAAAAATGATTGTGTCATGTCTATGTATAGCCAATTTATTGGGGATTGGGTGGAGTAGGGCTGTGTCCTGTTTTTCACTGCCATAGGTTTGAAGATACAGCATGTCATTATTATAATTTCTGCAGGTATTTCTGTTTCCATATGGGCTGGCCAAGAAGAGACTATGGAACAAGAAATACCCTATATGCATCGAGCTGTGCAGCTCTGAAGATCTTAATAGCCAAGAAAAAGGGGACAAGGATGGTGGAGAATCTCCAAGGCAGGACAGAGAGGACTCTGAGAAGATCGCAGGGGACTTCAAAGCTGGGACTTTATATCTGTTTGGGAGGACAGGGAGAGGCAAGGAAGAGTGGTACCAACATCTGCTCCAAGTCATCCAAGGGTCCATGGCAGGAAGACAAGATGGCACTAGAAGCGACAGCAGAACAGGTATTTTCATGCTTATTCACAGGTTTTTCATTATTTCTTTTTTATGTGTAGTAGAAATATGCCCTAGAATATTCTCTGGGCTTCGTCATCAAAGTATTTCAAATGAACTGCTTCTAGCAACCAGTCTTACAGAGTTATTCACAAAAGGGTGAAGAGTTTGGAGAAGGCAGGAGAAGTGAACAAAATAGCTGATTTGGAAAAATTCTCCAATTCAGCTCACTTTCCAGTTCAGCTATGTTGTCCTAGATTGTTCCCTTCTCCTGCCTTCTGCCAACTCTTCACCCTTTTGTGAATAACCCTGTTAGTTTTTGTAACAGAGCTGTAAAAAGCAATAAAAAGTAAAGCAATAGACATTGAAGGATTAGCCAACGTAGCCCTGAATAGTAGTACGAACCTAACAGGTGTTGCAATCCTTTGCCACTATATCCAACACAAACCAAAAATTTGGCTGGAATAAAATGCATTTATATACCTTATTTTTATTCTTCCTCTACTTCTTCATCTTCTTTTTCTTCTTCAGGATCTGGACCTCATCCATTGTCCAGCTCAGGTAGCTTGGGGGGAACCAGTAATAGCAGTATGGAGAGTACAGAGGATATTCCTTATCTGCTAAAACCCAAAGACGTATCAGGGAACGTCAAGCAGAATATCCTTTTGGACTACAACAGATACATTTCCCACTTCATCCCAACAGAGACCATAAGTCCCGCCGCCAGTCCTCATCAGAGCAGAACCAGCAGTCCCACCCCTCGGAGAAAGGTGATCTTGTGTTTTTCTTTTTTCAGCCAGTTATATATATAAGGGTTTTTAGGGTGTCATCCAGCCCCCCAGTGTCTATTTTAATGGAATTGTATACTCTTGTTTACTTTTTTCTCTCAAATCTGTTTGTATGGGATGGGCATTGGTGAGTTGAATCACCTGAACCCTTCTTATCTCTCTTAGGAACACGAATGCCTACATTCACCTGCAGTAGTCTGTGCCTTCTCCTCTTCTACAAGTCCACAGTATAGGTTTCACTCTATTACCACCAAGAAACCTATTTTTTTCCACGCTGTGAAGAATTTATTGAGTAAAATGTCACCATCATTTGGATTTATGATGGCCACATGGGTTGGGCAGGAATAAGAACTCTGGTGGGCATTTCTCTTAATTTGAAGCCCTGAGAGATATAAGAAGCCAGCAAGTGATTGAGGTGGCAAGTAACTGCACAAAACCCATATATTAGGTGTGGATAGAGTGTTTCTACAAAAACATTACAAAACTAAAATTGTGACTCATCTATAGTTAAAATGTAAGTAATATTAAAGCAAACCTGCGATTGACAAAAACAAATTAAATATATGCCTTTCATGGCTATCAAATCTAGATATCTACATTTCTTGTGAGTGGTTTCTTATAGAGCACCCTGGTCTTTTAGATCCTATTTGTTCTGCCAAGCAAATTTTGAGTAGTCCAGTTCGAGAGCCTTAACCTATCAACTTTGCTACTGGTTAACGAGGTTGTTGATCATTGCAATAAGCCATTAGGGAGCTAAATAAAGGGAGCAGAGCTAGGTTCTGAAAGTCAGTATTTGCAGAGCAAAGCATGAGCCAAAGCATTAACATGACAGCTAGGCAGCTAACATGTTCAAAAGCAAAGGCCAGCAATGACATCCTCCATATATACTTCATGACATGCTCACACAGACACACGGACTGACCGCCCAACAAATAAAAAATGCTTTAAAATAGCTTCCAAAAATAAAAATGTATACCCCCAACCTTGGCTTCTGCCCACTTTCCGGCGGTACCATCACTTTGCCTCAAGGGTGCTCCATGAAAACTGAGCACTTAAATATCCCATGAGAATAATTCAGGAGCCTATATAAGCTGATGATGGAGCAAGGTGGGCAGTACATTTACAAACTTAAATTTTATTGGTGGTCATTGTTGATGGTATGCTGCCTAATGGACGATATCTCACAGAATCGGGGACAGGTGAGTATAAAACTTGCAGGGGGGCTGGGGACAGGCCAAGGTACAATATAAGTGTAACTGCGCCAAAGATTTTTGAAGTAATTGCCTGGACACAGGTGGCGTGGCTCTTGATATTTTTATGACCTAACTGAATGTCTTTGCTCATCCACACAGCAGTTCTTGGAGCGCGCTCTCTCCAGCAGCCCCAATGTGTTCTGGGTAAACGCCTATATCGGGCGTATCTTCTGGGATTTCCTCCGAGAGAAATACTGGGAGGACATAGTGGCCAATAAAATCCAGAAAAAGCTAACAAAAATCAAGGTGGGACTTTCACTACAACTCATTGTTCAATTTAGCCCTAGCTGACCGCTGCTCAGAACATGTATTTTGTTGGATAGAAAAGTCTTTGTGAGGCTGCTGCCTGACCATAGAAAGAAAACTGTGTCTGACATATTGTCTGCTCTTGTCTCCCAGCTGCCAAACTTTATGAATGAACTGACCCTAACAGGACTGGATATGGGGACATCACTTCCTCAGATACTGTCTACCTCCAACCCCAGTGTGAATGAGAGAGGTAAGCTTCATAGATAAATAAAGAGGAAGAAATAGATAGATAGAGAGATAGATAGATAGATAGATAGATAGATAGATAGATAGATAGATAGATAGATAGATAGATAGATAGATACGATAGTAGAAGTGAGAGATGGCAGAAGGGGAGAAAGAAATAGATGATGGAAAGAGACAGAATAGATAGATAGATAGATAGATAGATAGATAGATAGATAGATAGATAGATAGATAGATAGATAGATACAGATGATAGAGGGAGTGAGAGATGACAGAAGGAGAGAAGGAGATAGATGATGGAAAGAGAAAGAATAGATAGATGGCTGGAGAGAGAGATAGATAGATAGATAGATAGATAGATAGATAGATAGATAGATAGATAGATAGATAGATAGATAGATAGATAGATAGATAGATAGAATAAGGGATGATAGAAGGGGAGAGAGAGAAATAGATTATCAAAATAAGCAGGAAGAATAGATAGATAGATAGATAGATAGATAGATAGATAGATAGATAGATAGATAGATAGATAGATAGATAGATAGATAGATATTAGTCACTCACATTCCGCTGGACCTTTTCTGTAAGGTTGGAGATGTTTCACAGCCCTTTAATGTCAATCATTCCTTGTGAACTATATTTAATGGAGAAAAAAGTCTTGGTAAATGTTGATGATACTCAGTGCTTTATAAAACTAAATGTCATCCACTTGGGGGGCTCTACTTAAAAAAAACTAGAATAGCATTTGATAAAACCATTACAGTTTTCCATTAAGGCTGTATACCTTGATACAGCTTAGCTGACATGAGCCCTTTAACCCTCTGGAGCATGGATGGCGATGGAAGAAGCTGTGTGAGTCTATTTCTGGTCTATCAGAGTGAGCGATTTACATTCTCATTAGAGTGGAATGGCTTTTGTGGAAGCTGGCAGTGCAGAACAATAGGAGAAGAACCATTATCTCCTTCATTTGGCTTGAAGTCATCACTGAATGTAAATAGTTGGGTTGCTCAGATGCCAGCCTGAGAAGGCTACAGCCGGTAAAGGGAAAATAGAGGTTATTTTCAGCCATTTTAATGGTTTGAATTGTAATTATAACTTTTTTTTTTCATCTTGCGGTAGTAGAGTAATGTACCATATTAGTCATCAATTAGTGCTGAAAGTTTGGGGTTTAAGTGAAATCCTTTATTGCCTAAGTTAGGTCATTAAAGTTGCAAGCTTTCGCGATTCCTTAGATCTCTTCCTCAGGCTTTGCACATTTCAGAAAGGACTGTACAAAGTCTGTAGAAATGTATAAAGTCTGTAGAAATGTATAAAGTCTGTAGAAATGTATAAAGGCTGAAGAAATGTTCAAAGGCAAAGAGAGCAACTAAAGAATCCTAAAAACTTGCACATTTTTCACATGGCACCACTACATATGCACAATATGCAAGTCTCACACACACAGTTACTATATACTATACACCGATAAGCCATAACGTTATGACCACCCGCCTGATACTGACTAGGCTTGCCACCAAAACAGCCCTGACCCATTGAGGCATGGACTCCACTAGACCTATAGCAGCTATGCTGTGGTATCTGGCACCAAGCCGTCAGTATCAAATCCTTTAAGTCCTGTAGGTAGCGAGGTGAGGCCTCCATCGATTGGACTTGTTTATCCAGCACATCCCACAGATGCTTGATAGATTGATATCTGGATCATTTGGGGGCCAAGTCAACACCTCATTGTTCTGTTCCTCAAACCATTCATGTACTTGGTCAGCAACAATGTCTAGGTCGGTGGTATGTGTCAAAGTAACATCTATGTGAATGGTAGAACCATTGATTTACCATGATTTACCAGCAGAACATTGAACAAAGCAGCACACTGCCTCCACCGGCTTGTCTTCTTCATATTGTGCATCCTGGTGCCATCTTTTCCCCGGTAAGTGAAACACAAGCACACAGCTATCCACATGATGTAAAAGAAAATGTGATTCATCAGAACAGGCCACCTACTTCCATTGCTCTGTGGTCCAGTTTTGATGCTCACGTACCCATTGTAGGCACTTTTATTGGTAGACAGGGGTCAGCATGGGCACCCTGACTGGTCTGTGGCCACGCAGCCCCAAACACTACAAAGTGCAATGACTTTCATTCGGAAATAGCACTGGGAACATCCCACAAGAACTGAGATTTTTCTGTTTGCCTGATGAAGGGACCACTGGGTTTCGAAACGTCGCTTGGAGAAGTTATGCCTTAGTCAATAAAAAGATTGACTGGGCATCACGTTGGAGTGCGAGTGACTTTCTGCTGGTTTCATGTGATTTGCGGAGGCATCTGCTGTCATCGCTGCACCCATCCTGTTATTGGGGTTTTTCCGGTCAGGGACATATTGAATTTTGAAGCATGGGCACTCTGACCGGTCTGTGGCCACGCAGCCCCAAACTACAATGACTCTCGTTCGGAAATAGCACTGGGAACATCCCACAAGAACTGCAGTTTTGCAGTTTTGGAGTTGCTCTGACCCAGTCGTCTCATCATCACAATTTGGCCCTTGTCAAAGTCACTCATATCCTTACCTTATCCTGCTTCCATCACATCTACTTCAGGGACAAAATATTCACTTGCTGCCTAATATACCCCCCCCCCCCCCACTTCCAGGTGACATTGTAACCAGACAATCAGTGTTATTCACTTTACCTCTCAGTGGTCATGGTCATAATGTTACGGCTGATCGGTGTATAATATATACTATGCTAATACTATGCAAACAGACAATGTCTCACTGTGACATCTGTAAACATATAAAGCTAAAGTATTGCAAACAGTGCAAATTGGCAATGTTTTACAAATAAATAATCAATACATAAAAATGGCATTATGGATTTTCCAAAGAGACAGCAGTGTTACATTTCAGACAGCCTCTCTCTAATTGAAACTTTGTACAGAGTAGTTAAAGAGGGGAGGGAAGGAGGAGGTGATGGGAGGATGACAAAGCACTGTGTCAATATTCTTTATTCAGCAAAGCAATTGAAGGAACCCAATTAAATACCCCAACAGGGCAAAGTAACAGGTGCGCTGTATAACAGGCCCAATCTGCTGCTGGTAAAGTCCCTGTGTGTAGTCCAGTTAAAAAAAAAAAGTCACGGCTTACACAGGACTAAAGAACTGTACCTGGCAGTGCTCAGGTCGCATGTTTCTGACCATGTCCCATGTTACACCCATCTTTAGGTGTATATAAATGGTATATTGGTGGCTGCATAAAAATCATAAATATTAAATATTCGTATGCAAAAACATTAAAAAAGCATTAGCCCTGAAGAATAATTATGCAGCAAACCGTTTGCCTTGGGGGGAATTTACTAAAACTGGAGCAGACAGACCATCAATGAGAAGCAGGCAGAATCTGGGGCAGCTATGCAGAGTAACCAATCAGCTTCTCTCTTTAGCTTGTTCAGTTAAGCTTTGTAAATGAAAGCTAGAAGCTGATTGGTTGATGGCTGCTCCAGATTCTGCCAGCTCCAGTGTTAGTAAATTCCTATCGTTGTCATCAATCCATAGCTGGATGTCACGCAGACAGATTCTCTCCTGCTCCAGGGTGATATCCGGCGGTCCCTCCGCTGACATAAGTATCTCTATATATGTGTGGCCTCAGCGCCTGGCATTATCACCAACGCCAGGGCGCTTGTGTTATCTCACGGCTTAGTCGGGAGCAGCTGCTGCTGCTGGCATCGGGCAGTGCCATGTGCCCCATATTAGCAGCAATAAAAGCATCGCCAGGAAATACGTTATTTTGAAGGCCAAACTACAAATTACAGGCAAAGCCTTAATCCATGGATTAGACTCGGGGCGCCCTTAACTCTTAGCACGCCTTGTGTAAAATTTGTGACGTAAAATGGGGTTAACAAGCAGTTAAAGAGTAAAGCCGGCCAAACATTGCTAGATTTCCATACCAACGTTCATATAAAAAATCTGTTCAGAACATTTGATGATGTTATTAGAAACACGATCAAATTTAGTTTGGTTTTAACAATCGATTTTGAAAATGGAGTATCCTGAACCAAAACCACATTCATTGTTAAAAGAGAACAGGGTAAGTGTTTTTCCCCATAGTTCTCTTTAGGGTCCCGGGAGGACATATACTAACCTCCTCCGTGACTCAAAGCTCAGTATATCGCGGACTATTGCGAGGTCGAGGTCCACCCAGCTGCGTGACTGACAGCTGGCTCTGCCTATCTAGAGGCAGAGCCAGCTGTGCCCGCCCCCTCCCCCATTCATTCCTTTAGTCAGCACTGGAGGATCGGAGAGGAGAGAGGGGGGAATCCCTTCGGGGAGCGGTGATTGACAGTCACGGCTCACTGCAGGGAGACGATCGGGAAGTGAGCGGATCGGCGGCATGTTTCTGCTCACTTCCCGATCGATAGAGCTGACCTGTGACAGCTTTGTCACAGGTCGGATCTAACTATGAGTGGAAATCACTCACCTCATAGTTCTCCTTTAAGTATTTACAACACACTTTAAATCAAATGCATGAATCCTTTTTATCCTTTTGACCTAACCTAACTCACCCTCCTTCTCCATGGATGCATACTTATGCTGATCCAATGGCCGCCATTCCACAGTTTGTTCACATGGCTGGATGTGAACAAACTGCAGAATGTCGCCGATTGGATCGAGGTAAGAATGCATCCATGGAGAGAGAGGATGTTTAGGTTAGGTTAGGTCAAGTCTTCACTATCCTGGCCATGGATGTGCACTAGTGGCCCATAGACTTCCATGAGGCTGGAGATGATGGGAGACAGTCCCATAAAAGTCTATGTGGCTGTAATGTGCTAGCACAGTCAGGACAGTGAAGACTGTAATGTAAGCAATGATGTAAGCTTGATGTAAGCAATCAGCGTTGCCATTCCGGCGGCCATCAATTTTAAGGTAAGCATGCATTTGTTAATAGCGAGGGGAGAGTAACATTGGGTCTGCGGAAGGGGCTAAAAAAAGGTAAATGCACTTTGATATAAAGAGAACATATCCTTTATCCCGCGATATCCATATCCCGCGATGGGGGCTGACACAACCCCTCACAATTTAGGAAACCAGCCAGTTGATATTCATGAAGTGCATGGCTCTCGGCAGATTGGACAAAGCTCATACATATATTCAGGAGAATGAAAGAAAAGTACCAATCTGCTGATTCGTTGAATCTCCGAGCTTTCCAAGCTCTCCTTGATATTCATTACTGTACCCGTTCTGTCTATGTCAATGTGTCCTCAGGTTTGTGGATGGATATGGAAGTTAAGTACAGCGGATCTTTACAAGTAACGTTGGAAACGAAGATGAACTTATCCAAACTGGGGAAAGAATCAGCCATGGAGGACGGTGGACTGCCCAAGAGCCATAGAGAGGGGTACATTTTTTTGTAATCCTTTAAGGGACACTGTACCTTTCCTGGTTCCTCCCTCACCCTTTAACAATATGTTAATTACGTTTTTTTAAGTTTTTTTATTTGTGTTTTGATTGCATGCCTTATTTTGGACCCAGTGACATCATCACTGTGTGCTTCTCTGTGCAACGAAGGCAGGTTATGACTGGTAGGAGGGACCGGCAGGGTGCTGTACATATCTTCCTGAAAACATCACAGTGCCTTGCCTCTGTACTCCTCTCAAGAGCCCTCAGCCCTGATGCAAGCAGTGGAGTTATGAAAATAATAAAATGCCTTGATGGGTGGGTGTCAGTGTGGAGGAGTGGGCGTTCCTAGGCAGGCTGTATTTGCATGAAAACTGTCCTAGAAATCCCACATGTGATGCTGGATGCTGAGCCTCCATGATTGAAAGACCTGAAATCCAATGAATGAAGGGTAGTGGGCCAGGGACAGTCAAGCTGGTGAAGGAAAGAGCTAGACGATGCTGGATGTCCTCTATCCAGGAAATGGGGCGGGCTCTGTATGACGTGCTGCAGCTTCCAATGCACATTGTGAAAAGCTCTCAGTGTACAATGAAATCAGAGGAAGCAATTTCAGTCCAGGAGAGGAGTCGGTACAACTCTGCAAGACTGAAGGTAAGGCCGGCGTTCAGCTTTACTCTAGAAGTGTGTCTCAGAAGGAGCAAAGTACAAGTTTGTTTAGGCCAGTTCAAATCCTGGAGCACCATTATAGGTAAAAGATAATATGGAGGGAATAGGTGAATCCAAGGGTATTATCATGGTAAGGGATGATATACAGGGGGGGAGTTTAAGTCCAAGTAGGGAATTGTGGAGTTTCCTCTTCTCTTCTATAGAAGTGAAGTCCGGGATGAGAGTCTCTGGAAGTTAGTGTCCCTCAATGCTGAGTACTTGGGGCACTGTACAGGAAGTTGACCTTATCCTCCAGGACCCCTGATCACACCCCTGACATTGTCTTCTTTCAATGGGCTCATAGGTCTGTCTGCACTGCACTGATTCAATTTCAAGGCTGTAGGTGCTCAGTCTGTACAGGCTCAGGGTCTATCTGTCTTTGGGGTCCTGTTTTATCTCCAGGTATGGGGCCAGTTTGTAGTCGTTCTGTAGTAACTTGTAAATAGTTAGTTTAATTTCTCCATTCACTTAGACATTTTTCTTTGGAAGTGTTCATTATGTCTTTTATTTGATATTTTGTCAGGCCGCATTCATGAGAGCTTTGGATGGATGAATTGTTGCAGGCCACATGGTTTGGCGTGGTTCTGTTGGTCAGTAGAGCTTTATGATGATATGAGTTGGGGCTGCTGTTTTGAAAGTGTTTACAGTATGACAGCTCCCTCTTCTGCACTACGAGGGGGAATCTGCCCAACTCAAGGCATTGCTAGCAAGCATTGTTAGAGGTGCTCTGATGGACTTGGAGGAGGTGCTTGCAGAGTTCCAGATGGAATATTTATTTTAGGCTGGAGTCCCAGTTTGGTTGGTTTGAGTAGGTGACAGAGCCCCATACTTGCTATAAAGTTGGATTGGGATGATGACACTGTCAAAACTTTTAAGCCGGACTCTTACTGGTGGTTTTAGGTAGTATCCTGGTGACAGAAGGTTCTATGTGCTATGCCTTTCAGGAACTCTATGAGTTGCTTGTACTTTTCTGTTTGGTTTATTTCTAGGCCGAGGTGTGTGTAGCTGTTGGATTCATAAAGAGGGAAGTCGTTTAATGTAAAGCATAAACTCTTGATTTGTTTTGTGTACTGTGACGACATGGTGATGAGTTTATAAGTTAAATGTGTATTGGTGTTGAGTTATGTTTGAGTGCGTTATGCTGTGTAACCTGGTTATGAAAAGACTATCAGCACCATCCCTCGTTATCTCCCATTGTTCTCTGAGGGAGCTCAGGACAATGACATTCTGGCCAGGCTCCTGCTATTGCTGTCTTTAGCTATTTAGCAGGTGGACACCTGTGGTGTTGTGAAGACAGGATTTCTGGGGAGGGTAAGGTGGATGTGATGGGATTATAATCTGATCTCATCACTTGCTGTATAAAAGTTTGTGCAGTTGCTCAATAAATCAGAGTTTGTTTCACCTACACTCGTGTCCCGACCAGGGACTGGGGAAACTGGGAGCTAAAGATCAGCTGGTTCCAATATCTCCAGAGCAAGGAAGAAGACAGCGGCGGACATACTCATCCTGAGTACGGGGGTCCGTCACATGTACTTCCTTTGGAAAACCATGACTTTTGTTTTCTTTTTGTTGATGGGTAGTGCCCATTCTGCACTGCATTTCTCCAGCACTTCCAGACTTCCAGTCTTGTGGGCCTTGCTGTGTTGGTGACAGTAATAGTAGGTCATCTACATACCCATTCTCTCTTTCTCTCTCTCTCCCTCCCTCAATCACTCTCTCTCTCCCTCCCTCTCTCTCTCCCTCTCTCTCCC